TCAGTTCTGTTAATCAAATACATATCATCTGATTCAAAATTCCTTACTCTTGTCCTTCTTAGCCCTTATATTACTGAAATATATATATATACATATATATATGTATATATATATATATTCGCCTTTAATTCAACTTTCTGGCTTTATTTTCTCAATTTTCAAAATTTTAATATTCAGTGAGTTCATGTTTTGGTTACTATTTTTTATCCCATTTTTTCTTTGATTACAGGAACTATATATTTTAAGACTTTGCTGAATCATGAAAGCCCTAAATACAGTACTGGCACTCCGAGGCTTGTTAAATGAATATAAGCAATGCCATGGAGTTTTCATAGAGCTTTACATGCTGTTAATTACCATCAATTAAATCTGTTGCAAGTAATAATGAACTATAATCTGTTGAAAACCTGACCTTCCAATTAACCAATCCTTTAACCTTCTCTCCTTTTCTCTGCAGAGCAGTTTAGAGTATATTTCTTTTTCCCCATGCAAGCCCCCTCTATCTCTGGCCCAGATGTTACTGGTCTATTTGGGAATCTGACCTATAATACAAGATACATTTTTGCTCCTTTTTACACCTTGTTGTAATGTGTGTTTAGTGGAAAAATATGTTTCTAATCCACTATTGCTTCTATGTGCAGATTATGAGTCAGTTTATCTATATTATTACAAGTTCTCACAATAGCCTTGTGACATCTCTGTTTTATACAGAAGGAAACAGTGGCTCAGGGAGCTGTGCAGTTGTCTGGAGTCACAGAGCTGGTCAGGGCAGATCTGGGGTTCAAGCCCACAGGGAGCAGGCCTGATAGCACTGTTTCCCAAACTGCTCCTCGCCAAGTTCAGTTAGTGGGTCAGGAAAAGGAGCCCAGATGTAGGAGGCAATCAGTTTTGGGGGCTTTCAGAACCCGCTCAGCCACTACTAGCTCTAGGACTTAATCTCTCTCAGTCTTGAGTTCTTTATTTGCAAAATAGGGATAGTACTGCCTCTCCTTGTAGGATTCTTATGAAAACCAAATGGAAATGCATATAAAGCCTTTGGCACATTGTTACATGTGTTGTTTTGTTTTTAAATGACCTGAACTACCCCTTCAAGTGAAGGAACCCTCTGATGACAGTAAATGCCACACTGACCAACATAAACAGAATTTTAATTGACTGTCCAGAAGCAGGAGATCCTGATTAGAGTAACCCCTTTTGTATGTTTTCCGTTGTTTGTCTTTTGAAGAGCAGAGATTTCAGTCCCAGCAGCAATGTAATTTGTAGTGGGGGTGTTTTCTTTTTCTTTTACATCCTTTTGAATCCCATTTGGAGCTGCAAAAATTTCAGAAGGATCTCATGGCTGCCCGGGGCCTTGGGCTGGAGTTGTGTCTTAGCTTATTGATGTGGTGAGCTCTTGCAAGAGGTAGGAGTGATGCAGAATGAGATGGCATTAGGAAACAAAAGAGTTGAACACATATTGCTCTGACCACTAGAATTTCAATTGATCTGACCGATGAGTTTGTGAAAGTTTTATTTGTAAAACGAGTGCATTTCTCTTTGACTGAAATTTTCTCTTTAAAATTGTTTTTAGGGTGCAGAATAGAAAACTGTGATTCTTGCTTCAGCAAAGACTTTTGTACCAAGTGCAAAGTAGGCTTTTATTTGCATAGAGGCCGTTGCTTTGAAGAGTGCCCAGATGGTTTTGCACCATTAGATGAAACCATGGAATGTGTGGGTAAGTAGTTTTTTGTGTAACTTTCAAACTGCAACTTTTTACACCTGTTTCTTGAGGAGGGGGAAATGCACACTGGGTTATTCAGCCTGGTTGTCTTGTTAATTAGAATGGAAAATTATTTGAATTTTTTGCTGACTTTCTGAATTCTTTAGGGATCATGACATTAGGTAGTTTCATATATTACATCTTGCTACAAAATTTGTGATTTGTACATTTGCTAGATTAAACTATTTAGATGCTGATAATGCTTTTTATCATAAGTGTAATACATCTATTTCTTACTTATCTTAAAAAATTAATATCTGTTAGATAAAAACATTTTGTTTAAAATAAAAATAAAATTTTCAAGCAGTACCATGTTATTAAGATTCTATCACCTTTGTTATGTATATTAATTATGGATCTTCTTAGTCATTTATTTTTAAAATGTCATTGGGAAGAAAATTTTTGTGCAAAATATATTTTGATAACTGACTGCATGTTGCAAAGTGCATTAAAACAGTTTTACCTTTACTAAATTTGTATAGCTAGAATGCATAATTTAATATATACATATATACCATTTGTGAATAATAATGAGGAATACACATTTTATAAATTGTCTATTTTTTGAGTGTTTGAAAACACTTTGGTTTTTATACTACTTTTTCACTGTTTTTATATATAGTTTTATATGGTTTTCATATGGTTTTGGCTTTTATACTACCAATTAAAAGGTAAAGCTCTGTTAGTACCTGCATTTTGATGAATGCCTGAATCTGTTCTTAGGTGCAATGGCATCTTCGCTACTCCCAGCCCTCTGCACCTACCCCTGAATTTTATTTGGCATGCTATACATCTGATATGATGTACAAGAGAGCTATGTATTATGAGACTTTCCATCTCCTTGAAATGGAGACTTAAAAGAAAATTGAGAACTTTTTTCCTGAAGAAAATATTGCTAAAACAGTCTATATATATAAAAGCCCAGCGACCAAACACTGGAACGACCAGAATGATTGGGCAACCAATTGCTATGATGTGCACTGACCACCAGGAGGTAGATGCTCAATGCAGGAGCTGTCCCCTGGTGGTCAGTGTACTCCCACAGTGGGAGGGCCGCTCAGCTGACCGGGATGAGCAGAGCTTCCACAGTGGGCTGATCTCTGCAGGCCATGCCCCCCACCAATGCACGAATCTGTGCACTGGGTTTCTAGTAATTATATATTCAAAAGCTTGCAGAGAACACATTTAAAGAAGAGGTTTATGAAGAAATGTGTACTTATATTCCTGTTTGTGTGTGGGTGAATACATTCATACAGGCAACACCCTATTAAACATAGGAAAGCCACTAGAAGAGCATATTTGGAATGTTGACTTTGCTTTTGAGAGGCAAGTCCCATGTCCCTTAGAGATGGTCAATGGATGTTCTTATGAAACCCTCAAAGATAAATTACAAATTGACTCCTGTGCATTCCGCTGAATACAAATCATCTTGACTAGCTTTGAAACATCGAAGAATAACCACGATCATGCCTGCTAAGATCTGGAATGCTGAAATATTGTGTGTGGACCCTGGGCCTGAGTCGTGACCTGGTAGTGTGAAGGGGCTTTTTAATGGGGAATTTGATGAGGACGTTTAACTTTACCAATTTTTGTCCTTTTATTCCCCAACCTCACCCCAGGAGATTGGAGGCTAGCCCACTTTTCTGCTTTATGGTTTTACAAAAGGGGGTGCTAAAAGCTAGATATGTAATCTAGAGAAATCATACATTTTTCATATACCTAACCATACTTGTTTACTTTTCACACTATAATAATATATAGCACCAATTTAGGGAATAGGAAATACATACTGTGGTTTCCTGACACCTATTGAAGAATTGAGATAAATCAGAAAATGCAAAACAAACACCCTGTCCTTTTCACCAAATACTTACTTTTAAAATACATATAAATATAAATACATATAAATAGGTGTATATATATACACACACATATGTATATATGTGTGTGTATATACATATGTGTGCGTGTGTGTATATACGTGTGTGTGTATATATATATATGTGTGTGTGTGTGTGTGTGTGTGTGTGTGTATTCCAGACAGGAAGGAAGAGGGAGAGATAGAAACAATGATGAGAGAATCAGCTATCGGCTGCCTCCTGCATGCCCCCTACTGCTCTAACCAGGAATTGGACTGTGACCTCCTGGTTCATAGGTCAGTGCTCCACCACTGAGCCATGCTGGTAGGGCCCAAACACTTACTTTCAAAATAAAACCAAACACATGAATTTCAGTGGGGTGTTCAGAATTAACATGAAAAATTGTCTCTTCTGTCATAATATGAAAATCATATCTTCTGCTGTAGATTTTAGCTATGGAATCTTTCAGAGATTATATATTCCAGTGTCTTTAGAATGGACCAGAAGCATCTCTTCAAAAAATGAACTAAGACAAATTGAAAGTACTAGTTTTAAAATTACTTATGTGGCAATTACTGTAAATGAAAGTAACCCTATGGTTCAAAGAATTGAAGTTTGAAAGGCAAATATAGGCCTCTGTGGGCTATGCAGCTTAATTCGGGGAATCTGAAAGTGAGGAGAGTATATAAATTTGATGATAGTGGAGCAAATGGATACCAAATTATTTGTATTTGTTTTGTTTATTTTTAATCTTTATTTAGAAGGATGTGAAGTTGGTCATTGGAGTGAATGGGGAACGTGTAGCAGAAATAATCGCACATGTGGATTTAAATGGGGTCTGGAAACCAGAACACGGCAAATTGTCAAAAAGCCAGCAAAAGATACAATACCATGTCCAACCATCGCCGAATCCCGGAGATGTAAGATGGCCATGAGGCACTGTCCCGGAGGTGAGTGTTGGTAGTCACTACCATGGGTGGTGTGCTTTCTGAATTTGCTTCTTCCCTACCCCCATCCCCAATAATGACTATTTCTCCATGAAGGAATCCTGATAATAACATTTGTCAGAGGGTCAAATTCCACATTATTCTTATTTAAAGATGAATGCTTACACTGTGAAGCATATAGAGGGAATATTTCATTTACTTTCATGATACCTTGATAATAATTTAGAAGAGTGCATTACAAATGGGCTTTCCAAATTGAGATTTCTAAGAGCACGTGTGTGTGTGTGTGTGTGTGTGTGTGTGTGTGTCTTTTTTTGGCTAACGTACCATACAAGTAGGTCTTATGAAATCAGGCTTTTGCAGATGTTGCTCTGAGGGAAGCGGCCAACTTTCAGTTGAGAAGAGTTTAGATTAGAAAGGTTTGTGGCATCTGTAAAATCATCGGCATCATTACTAGTTGAAGATGACAACTTAAAATAAACTTGCCCAAACACTGGGAGGAATAAACGTTGTCTTAATGTTACCACAATTAGCCGGTTCTCTTTGTTTTGATAATAATTTGTAGAAAACAGCTACTGGTATGTGTGTGTTTATTCATGTCTTTGTAGTAATTGTGCTGATTTGCAGTAATTATTCTGTAATAACAGGATTAGGCCCATTTACAAATTAGGAGACGCGTACATAGCTCAGGTGCCGGCTGAAGCCGTGTCAGTTTGAGGTGGAGTTCTCAGTGCTGTCCCAGTGGTTCTTAAAGTGTAATTGCTTGTTACCATTTGTCACTAGTGGATGCTACGTTGTTGGAGATGAAGCTGGGGTTTTTCTGGTCTACAGCATAGAAAAGCAAAGAAGTTGTGTTTGGAAAATTGCCCTGTGAAATAATAAAAATTTTTGTTTGTCTTTATTTATTTATTTTTCTGTTTGGGCACAGTTTTTCAGCTTTGTGGTTACAGGCCAGAGAGAGAATACCTATCGGCTTAAAATGGATTTACATCCGTATTATGCTGCCCCATAGAGAATGTCTATGATCCGGGGAGGAAGACAACTTTTAAGACTCGAAGACTCCAGTCAGCCTTTGAGAACTATTAGATCCAGATTCAGAAGCTACTATTAGGAAGGCAGCTTTGCTTTGCTGGGTCTTTGAAACAAAGTTTTGTTGGGGTTTGCTTTTCACTAACAAGGATGGTTTTGTTCGCTTTAAACTGAGTATTTTTCAGTCAAAATATAAGAAAATATTTTCTTACAAAACTAATAAGCCACTTCTTGGATAGCTGAGAGCATTTAACCTGCAACCTCATGCCTAAAAACAAACCTGATGTATTCAGGTATTGGGAAGAAAGGCTTCCTTTGTTGTATATTGTTTATATAACTACCCTCCCCCCATTTCTCTCCCAGCGATGTGGTCCCCCAATTGTGGTTTACGTTAATAGCAAAAATTAACCTGAAAATGCTCCTATAACAAACATGCTTATGTGTAACAAGAGCCAGAATATTCCCCTCCCGCTATTTTGACCTAGCCCCAGTCTTGCTTGAGAATTTTTTAGATAACAGCTAGATTGTTAACTTGTAATGTTTATTGCACTCATAGTTTTTGTGCTACCAGCAGCAGTATACTGTCGTACAGAGTACAACCTGACCCTGTCAGCAGTGTAAATTGTGCTGAAACAAATGCGTGTGTATCATCTGCCAATATACTCCTTTTGATTACCAGGCATGAACTCTGATTTAATTCATAGTTAGGTTTTATCAAGTATTATTTATAAGGAGCGACTGGCTATTGTTTTAATTCCCAAATTTACATTTTCAGTTGAATAAATTAATTTTTATATGACGTTAGGTCTAAAAGGTTATATGGAAACTTGTTTTATTATTTTATAAAAAGGGACCTACAATAGAATTGTTGATAGAAATGGAAAATTACTCTGCAATAAAATAACTTCTATTTTAAAATGTAAGAAATTACAACTAGAAAATTAATGTTGGAACTTGAGCACCAGCTTATAAAAATAGGCATAACTTCCAGTGTGGTGTCCCACCTTGCCTCAGGTGAGAGAGCAGAAAGTTCCCTTCTTCGGTAGGTCACGGTGATTAATGGAAGAATGGAGAAGAAAACCGCTTCAGCCCATTTTACATCTTGATTTGATTTTAGTGATCTGCGTTGACAAACCATGCAAAAATGTAAGTCGTAATCAGGTTGGGAATACAGGCATTTTTCAGATCTTTTCAACATATGTATGGATTTTTCTCCTGTTGGAGCCAATCTTAACCTGATTGCACACAAACATAGCCTTAACCTCCTTCACACCAAAGCACCAGCACATTAAAATCAGCTGCTTTCGATTACTGGAAGGCAGAAGTTAAAGGTCAATGCAATGGAATAGTCACTAAGTATATAAGATATTACATTAAAAACTACTAAAAATAAGAAAATAATGGATGCAAGATTTGTTTTTTTTTTAAATGGTGTAATGCTTCAGCCTATCTTCTCCTTAATGGTCATATGCTTATTTGCTTTTAAAAGAAGATTCTCTGAAAATATCCTAAGTCATGGATTGATTTACACTTGAAATTACTTGGTGTTCCTTCCCAAACTTTTCTTTTTAATCAGTTCCCTTTTCTCCCATTTCTGATGACAACAGCCTGTAGAGTTTCTTGGGCTTTGCTGACACTCATTTTTCAGGATTCTGTTCTGGGAGATCAGGAGATCTGGGTCTCTGTACCCTGTCAAGTCATTAATCCTGTGACCCTGGGCAAGACACTTAACCTCTTGTGGCCTCTATTTCCTCATTTGTTAATTGGAGGGTATGAGGGTAGGCGAGCTCTAAGATCCAGCCCAGTTCTAAAACCCAGTGATTCTAAGATTCATTGTTAGAAGATACGGGCCAGTTCTGTGGCGAGATGTGAAAGGCGAGGAAGAGACTGGAAGCCCAGGACCGCTGTTTTATGAACAAAGAACGGAACACTTTTCAGCAGCTGCACTGGGCATGTGCCAAGCCTTTCACATCGGGCAGCTTTCAAATCTTTCTTCCTTCTCTTTCTTTCTCACAGGTAGTCAACCCTCAAAGACTATGCAAGGCTTTAAATCCACATATGACCTGTTTATCTACGAAGATAGCAGGAGGGTAAAAAAGAGAAGAGCTTAAAAAAACCATGGTGAAAGGAGAAAGGTGGATAATGAGGGAGAGGAAAAATATATTGAAAAATGAATATAGGAAATGAGGGGGAAAATAACGGATTACTTAAAAACGAAGCCCATACTCACTGCCGATACAGCTGCCTTTCTTCTCTTCCACCCTGAGCTCACTAATGAATAGAATTCACCCTGTTGCGACGAATTTATTCTCTTAACATATAACTTGAATCTTTATTTTTTTTATATATCTTTTTTTATTTCAGAGAGGAAGGGAGAGGGAGAGAGAGATATGCTTTGTTTTACGAAGTTTCAAAGACCGCCTCCTGCACAGCTGACCCTGGGGATCGAGACCACAACCCGGGCATGTGCCCTGAATGGGAATCAAACTCTAACCTCCTGATTCATAGGTCGATGCTCAACCACTGAGCAATGCTGGTCGGGCTATAACTTGAATCTTTAAATGAAAGGAATTTTGAGTTTGAATCATGTTGTATATTAGGCAACATATTAATAGAAAAAAATAAATATGCTACCATTATATATTTAAATAATAGGAAAATGAAATCATGGTTGTGGAGGGACAAAGTTGGCAGATGCTCATGTACAGGGGACATGCTGACATTTGGAAGTGGCTGTCATCTTCCACTCCTTCACAGGGTCGGCCAACATAAACTCAGCCTGAGCTATCCTGTTCTGTCTGTATGGGGCTCACTATTTTGTAAGGTCTCACGACAACTACTTTTAATGTATTCATTAGATATTCATCGAGCATGGCTATATATCAATCATTGGGCTATGCATAATGAGTCCTTTTAGAGCTTTTCTAATGGGAATCATGGCAAGAAAGTGGAGATAGAGGCTGTGCAGAAAAATAAAGCAGGATTTGGAGTTGGTGAAAGAGTTGATTGGGGGTGCCTATTTTTTTTGTAGGGTATTCAGAGAAATTGAGGGAGTACCATTTGATTGTAGACCTGAATGGAGGAGAGCTTTGGATAGACCTGGAGACAGTTGTTTAGCTGCTGACTCAATGGCTATGCCATGTGACCATCTTGATTTTCTTACTTGCATAGGGTAGAGGAGGGAACTGAGATTTAGGGAGGCTCTGACTGGACCAAGGTGATGCACAGCAAGTTTCTAGTGGTAGAGTCAAGAGTAGGACCAATATTTTGCTGCTTCGGAAATGCAAGTTTTCCCCTGCCTTTTTCTTGTTCCTTATAATAAAAATCAAAGACAGAGCCATGGTTGTCCACCATTGAAGTAGCCAACTTTCAACTATTTCTCCCTCCAACAGACACATCATTTTACTTTTGCTCTACAAATGCTTAAAAAAACAACAACACCCAGGGCCTTCTGCCATCACCACCCCCTCCCAATATCTTCCAACTTGAAACAGCCAGTGGAACATACCCCAAAGGTCATTTAGTAAATGCTGAAGTGTTGAGCCACTCACTGGCTTTGTTTTCGTTCAGCTGCCCCTACTAAGACCTCTTCTTCTATCACTTTACTGTCATTCATCCTCAGTTTGTTGGGGGGGAAAGGGTGACTTCAAGCTTGTTTTTTTGTTTTTGTTTTTATCCTTAGTTCTTCAAAGTCACCCTCTCCCTGAGGCTGCCTTATGTTGAGTCCCACCCTGCATTCATCTCTGTCCCTTTGCTCCCTGGTCTGTACAGAAGCGCTGGGATCCTCGCCCCACCCAGCACCTAGTTGCTCTGTGCCCCGCATGGTTTTTCTCTTTCTGACACATAGAAGCAGTCAGATAGTTAAAGTAATTTAGGTGATGCTTCGACATGTGCTTAGTTTTTTATCCCTTCTATTCCTGGCTACCTCAACTCACCATACCACAATTGTTAGTAACAATATAGTGCAATTCTTT